TGTAACAACATATGATCAATAATGTTTAAATGATTCACTTATACAAAAGTTTATGAAGATTCATTAGAGGATTGATAAGACCAAAGCCTCCTAACAATGAATCTCAAGGTTATTGGACCAAAGGTTTCAAATTAAACATCCTTGGGCTTGCAAACTAGGGTTTGGGCCACGAATGATCATTTCTCGAATCGAGACAAAATTTAACGCTATGTTAAGCAATCGTAAGTGGACTTATGTAGAAGTCACACCTATTTTGAGGCCGGTCAATATCAATCTATGTACCAAATGTTTAGAGAAACGATATATAAATCGTTCTCCAACAACATGTAGCACAAGTAAGAAGGGATAAGATGAAGAGGGAGGGGATGCAATGTATGAAATTAGGATTTCAAATATCATCAACATCATTCATCCATTTTGGTGGATTTGATTTCTCAACCTGTCAACATCCAAGATCCAATGAGGTTGAAGAATTTGTCACCAAATGATGCCCAAGTCAGAATCAAATAAAAATCAATAAAATAAATTTAAATGGTTAATAAAAAGAAAATAAATGGTAATATAAACAAAGTATATTAAAACACCAAATAAAAGTCCTAAAAAATAATCATAAGTCAAACATGATTTAATAAATGTTGGCAAAATTTTCATAATTTTTTAAAGTCAGAAACTAATTTTTAAAATTGAAGAAAATAAGCAAAATAAACCAAAATTTCTGAAAAAATAGTAAAGTTAGAAATAAAAATATAATGAGGTCACCAATATTTGTCAAGATAATATGAGGTCACCAATAGTAAAATTAGAAATAAAAATAAAATGAAGTCACCATAATTTTTTTAGAATTTAAAAAGGTCAGAAAGTATTTTTAAAATAATTAAAATAAGGCAAACAATGCAAACATTTTGAAAAATATCAAACATTAAAATAAAAATATGAAAAAATATTCACAAAGTCAGAAATAATTCAAAGTATTTTTATGTATTTTTTCAAAAAATTTCGATAAAAAATAAAAGAGTTATGAATTTTTAAAGATAAATGAAAGTTAAAAATAATTTTGTAAAATAAAAACAAATCATAAAAAACCACACGCGTTGGATCTCTTTCACTTTTACACGCTGGCACATCTAATGGATCGGACATGAGGGAGTATCATGGATTCAAGCTGAGTCTAACCAATGAAAATAAAACAATTGGCTCCGTTTCATTGGTTGAAGAACGACACGTAAGTCGTCTTCAACCTCCAGCCTCCTGTAAGTAGGGCAAATCCAAGATCCTTGAATCTATAAATTTAAGCGTTCATAGTGGTATCATTAGATGCGTCTACTTGAGATGATCACAACCATATGCTAGCGAAAAATTTATATAATACGCAACATAATCGATTTGGAAAAAACCAGAGATGTTTGAAAATGTTAAAATAAAAAATCAGAAGCATCAAATGCATTGTTTCACCAAAATTGAGCTAAGAGCAAGCATCAGTGAATATCATAGATCATTCCAGTAATTTGAGTTAGAAGATTTGGTACCTTAAACTACTTGAACAAAGTCAGATGAACTTGCTCTGTAAATGGACTCGGCTAGCATGATTTAGGGCACCTCAAAGCTTGATTCTTCTTCTATTAACTTCAGTGAAGTTCAAGGATGAAAGATCAATGAAGAAATTGGATTGAAAAGTGGAGAAAAGAGGAATTCGAAATCTCAAAAAAGGGTGTTATGAAGGGAGTTTGACATAGTGATTTTGGCTGTTCAAGCTTGAGAAAATGAGTGAGATATAAACTTCTATTTATAGGGAAGCAAATGGGATGCTCAAGCGTGTGAAATGATGAAGTTTGAATGGAACTCGTGTGAAGATATAAGCATGAAATGTGTGACTTCTATTTTGCTCAAAACTCAACCAAAACTTGCGTTTCAAGGTGCTAATCACTTCTAGAAGATTGTTAAACATGATTAAAAGTAAAAACGCACATAAATTTAGTGATTAGAAGCTGAATTGTGCATTTCAAATTCTTACTTGGAGGAAAAAGTCAGTTTCAAGGTACCAACTTTGAATCAATGGCATTCATCGCTCAAGGAGTCTTAGGGCATGATTCTTGAAGCATTTCAAAGATAAGGTCATAAACTTTACAATGTTAAAAGAATGGGATCAAATGGATGCTTGAGTTAAAAGTTGTGATGAGTCAAAGTTGAGAAAAAGATGCTGACTTTTTGTACTTAGAAAAATTCTAAGTTTTTTTCAAAAATGACCTATAATGTTTTGAGTTCAACCAAGGCTTTCCTCCAAAATTAAGCTTTAATCAATGATGCTAGATTTAAGTATACTTCCCAAAGAGCATTATGAAACTTGAATCACTCAAAAATACCAAGTATTGAAAAAGTTATGGTCTTGCAAAATTGGTGAAAATTCATGAGATTACCTATAATCTTTTGCATTCTTAGGGCATCTTCCATCCATTTTCAAGATTTGCACATAAAATAAGAGTTGAATTCCACATCCTTAAGATCATTTTGAAAAAATAAGGCGCTCAAGGAGATAAAAATTGGCCAAGTTATGATCTTTTTAAGTCATATAAGGGAATTTGATGGCCCATCTAGAGGACTTATAATCTTTCTTCATCATTAGGCATCTCCCACATAATTTTTTTTGAAACTTTTGAAGTGATTGGTTGATAACTCTTTAATAAGAAGCATGTATTTGGAATCACTCAAAAATACCAAAAGATGAGCAAGACATAGCCCTTAGAAGTTTAAAACCCCAGCTCCTAGAGCACAAAAATGACTTGGAAATCCCTTTCAATTTTGACAAACTTTCTTGAACAAATCCTTTTGTCATGTGAATATAAGTTGTTGAGGATGATAATAAGAACCCATAGCAACAAAAATAACTCAAAATGTTAAGAATTGAGAGAGTTATGCACTTGTGATTAAGAAATCAAGAAGTTGTCCAACTAGGTCAAACCACTTCAATCAACCTTTGCATCCTTGGACTTTCTTTGACAAATTGAGGTAGTATGAACCATAGTAGACCTTTTCATGATATTACTTCAAAGTATCTTCAATGATGAAGCTTGAAACTCAATGAAATTTTGTTGGAGAAACCATGGAAATAAACTCATGAATCTATGAATCAACTTGATGAAATATGTTGTGCTCTCACCAATAATATCATCAATTAGAGCAAATTGTCATTATATTTATTAGTCAAAAGTTAATCAATACAAAACATAGATGATCATAATATATAAATCAAGTTGCTCGGTGATTCCCCATAGGGAAACTTAGAGATAGGGAGAAGAACTAAACCCTAGTGTGATCGTTTTGTAATTGAGTTGATATGAGATGATTGAGGAATCTTAGGGGTAAAAATTGGGGTACAACAATGATGATGGAACATCGATCAAAATGTACACTCAGAAAGAAAAATGTTTAAGGGAGGGAAAATCTAGCAAAATAGCCCTAAAATCGTCCTGCAAAGTCGATCCTACAGTTGGGGGTCAAGGGAGATCTTACCTAATGTTGGCAGGCATAGATTCCATCCTAAGGTTAATTAGTTCAAACTTGAAAGAGAATGAACTAAAGATCCTATGGGGAACATCTGATCACGCAATAGAAAGCAAACACATAAAGCTTGAGGAGTATCCACTCACTCAAGTATCACACGCCTAACCAAGGTATCATGTCACCGAGGTAGGAAGGGGAGAGGGATGACACCTAACCATGATATCATGTCATCAAGGTAGGATAAGGGAAGTGGGACACCTAATCATGATATCAGGTCATTAAGGTAGGATAAAGGAAGGCTTAGCCAAGATATCAAGTCATCGAGGCAAGTGAAACTGGAGGAAATCAGTAGCTTTTAACCATGATATCTTGTCAACAAGGCAAGAAGAATAACGAGTGTCGATTCTTAACCAAGATATTGTGTCATATAGGCAAGAGAAGAATGAAAGTGAATTGTCATAGGCGACTAAACACCTAACCAAGATATCATGTCATCGAGGTAGGCGATAGAAGGCAATAATAAGATCACGTAGAAAGCATCATATTTTACAAGCACGGCCTATAGACAAATTATGGGGGTTGATTGCAAACCCTCTGTTCCACTTGATTTACTCGATAGCAAGAATAGCATTGTTCATAGCATCGATGCACGACGTGAGCTACAAACGACTTGGGGGGCTAGAAATGGTGGGGTCGATTGCGGACCCTCTGTTCGCCTTATGCCTCCTTTTGAGGACTTTGGCACAAAGATAAACACATAGAGCCACCTTTGTAGAGGACTTTAAACAAGCAAGCACAAGTAGGAATTGCCTTCTAAACGTGTTTTAAAACAATATTTTCCACCTAAAGTAGGGAATCCCAGTCATGCATCTCTATACCTACTTCTCATGGAAAATAAATGGAAGGCAGTGCGGAGATGAGGCATAAAAGAGATCTTAAGTGATACCATCGCCTCTTCAAATCCACACAAGAGATGAGAAAACTCTACCGAAGCTACTTCTCACAAATGATCAAACGAGTAAATCTCCAAGCATTCCACCTCACAGAAGTTGCATCAATACTATCACAATTTCTTAAAAAAAGGCAACGAAATTGTTAATGCACACATAAAAAAGATAATAGAAAAATTTAATAAAAATCTAAATAAAAATCCTAAAGAATTCTAAGATATTCTACTATTTTATTATCTTGTTACAAATTTTCAACACTATTTCAACAGCAAAAAATGATACAAGAAAATTAGAGTGGAAGTCTAAACAAAGGGGGTGAAGTCAGGATTTAGAGAGTCTATGGTGCAGCAAAGCTTAGGCGTTGAAGACCCAACTAAAAGGAGTCCAACAAGTGTTTTTTGTTCACATTCAGCATTAGACTTACCAAAAATAAGCTAACAGGCTTAGAGGGATCCTGGTCAGCCCATACAACCATCTAACAACACTTAAACCAGATTTTATTTATCACCTTATTATTATTATTAAACCAAAAAAGTGAAATAACAATATAAAATGAACAAAGTGATGAGACGGCGCCATTTTTGCGACTTAGGGTTCAAAATAGAGATGATTCAGTTTCACGAAGAAACTTCTTCTTCTCCTTCTCAACAAAAAAACACGTCACGAACCTCATCTCTTTCGATGATTCTCCGTCGTCTCAACTACGTGCTTCCGCCTGTTTCTACTCCATTTTGGTTCTCCCTCAAAGATTCGCTTTGTTCATGGTTCATCGTCAAGCTTCGTTTCCAATCTTACTGCAAACGTGATTCCTTCGAGCCTCGTCTCTAACCTCTGATTCTCTTACGTCCTTGTGCAATTTAGATCCACATCAAGATATTGAAAATTGAAGAGCCACGGATTTTTACATCGGTTACCTACCAAAGAGAGTCTGGAGCTCCTTCGGCTTGAGAAGATGATGATTTCAAAGATAGATCTTGTATGTTTTCTGTTCGATATTCACTTCTCTGATTTCTTCTTTCTCGTGTCTGAATCTTTCTTCTCGTGCTTTTAGTTTCCTGTTCGCTTCTGCTTGCGAATTGTAATATTGTGTTGAATTTGAAGCTCTGCGTGTGATTGTTGCATATTGAAGTTACATAACATTGATGTCAAAGTCGAAGATACGATGGAGATCAATCGTTGTTGTTGTTATTGAGAAATGCTCGAGGATGAAGATGCATAGAAAATTAATATCCAGAGGCAGAGAATCAGTTGTAATGTTGAGAAGAAGAGTATGAGATCTGTCGGTGATGCAAAGAATCGTCATGTGGATGATGCAATTCGCAGAGGTGATGAAGCAAAGCTATGCAGAGAGATGAATGAGAATTTTTTTGAGGTTTTTTTGTTATTCTTCTCAGAAGAATCAAGAATGATAAAGGTTTTGGGAGGTTGAAGATTCAGTCGGAGAATTGATGAAGTTGAGAGAGATTTTCAGAGATGAAGATTGAAGAGGGATAGAGTTTTATGTAATTTTTTGTGGAGTTTTCTGGTGATTCTTCCACTGATGTGAACAATGCATCGATTCTGGTGAGTTTTTCTATTTTATAGTTTGTTACAATATGTTATTGCTGTAATGATCTAAGTTAGGAGAAATAAATGGTGAGGATTTAGTCTGAGTTTGCCTAATTTTATTTCCTCCATTTTCTGATTTAACTCATTTCCTGATATAATGAGCTGGAATTTGCCTCTGATTTAATTTTTGTTCTCATTTGTCATGATGCACGGTTTCCACTCCACCATATACTTTTTCTGACTTTTTCTTCTACTTCAAATGAATGCAGGGCTGGAGTTAAGTGCAGGTTCTTGTATGGATTTAATGTTGATCATTGGTTATGAATTGAGGCACATTTTAAATTGAAACATGGAGATTTTGCTCATGATTTTTGGACAGCTTTTAGGAATGTTTTCAACTGTATACATTGCTTGGCATTTTCTGATTTTGATAGTTGTCTTGGTTCAGTTCAAAGTGTGACAATATTGGATTTATATTCTGCAGGGATATCAAGGCAAATTTTGATAATGGTTTTTGGCTTGGCACAAGGAGGATTCCAACATGGTGAAGGCAAAGGAATCATGAAGGATTAAAGTGAAAACATAAATAAACTTAGGCATTCTTATGGAATTTTGAAGAATAGATTAGGAAGTATATTTTAGGAGCATGATGGACTTGTGGTCTTATCTTGTAGTTTGTAAGATGTTTTTTGTAACGGTGATTGAAATTGAATGAGTATCTTCTTCAAAGACTCTTTGTATTCTAAGTTTCTAATCCTTTTCTTTTAGTTTATATTTCAAAATGGCATGATGCTTGTAATGGTTTAAGAACCTTGAGATGAGATTGTACACTTTGAATATTTTAAATGTATTGATCTTCTCCACCTTCATGAATTATTGAACAAAAATGAAAAGTTCTTCTAATCATCTTTCTCTCCGAAAATTGCATTTCTTTCTTTGATTTTGAAGTATAAATAAAGAAGTGATGATGTACTTGAATGATGAATGCCATAATGTTTGAATCAAGTTATGTATCTTTATAATTCCACCATAATTGAACTCCAATTACATGCTTGAAACAATATTGTCAATCAAAATCTTGGCTTGATGTGATCAAAATACAAATGAATCCAATACTTGCACAAACCATGACGCTTTCCTTATGACTCAAAATAAGATCTTGAATCAATACTCAGATATTAACAAATGTTATGCCATGCTTGAATTTCACACGAAAAACCTAATTCAATGTTGAAGTTCATACTGTCCACACCTTTGATTGTCTTCCACAAAGAATTGGTTCCTGACCCGAACATACGAAATGTAAAGGGTGTCAAAACAGACTTAGTGCTCACAGAACCATTCAAATATCATCTCCTGTCACAAGTTACTAATTTTTGATCATCCGAGAAACAATGACTTACTGAACCCTGACTTAGTGCTAACAGACTTAATGCTCACAGAACAATGACTTAGTGCTAACAGACTTAGTGCTCACAACCATTCAAATATCATATTGTCCATGCTTGACTTACTGAAGATTATCAAGAAAAGTGATTATAACATTCTGGAGAAACTAGGGCAGACCCCTTTCAAGATTTCAATGTTGGCCCTATTATTGTGCTCTGAAGCCCATGCTAAATCTTTGGTAAAGTTCCTAAAGTCTGCTCATATGCCACAAGAAACCTTCGATGATCAATTCGAAGACTGTGTTGCCAGTTTGACTGCTGATAATGGATTAGGTTTCTCTGATGCTGATTTAACACCCAGAGGAAGGAAACATAATGATGCCCTGCATGTCTCCATTGAGTGCATGGGAACTACATTAACTCATGTTCTGGTGGATACTGGTTCATCGTTGAATGTCTTAGCCAAGAATGCTCTGGACAGGTTAAATTGTGAAGGACTCACACTGAAGCCCAATAATATTGTGGTGAGGGCCTTCGATGGTTCTAAAAGAATGGTGCACGGGGAGGTGGACATCCCTATCAAAGTTGGTTCTCAGACCTTTGACTCCACTTTCTACGTGATCTACATCCGACCATCTTACTCTTGTTTGTTGGGACGCCATTGGATCCATGGGGCCGGTGCTGTTACCTCTACTCTGCATCAGATGCTGAAATATCCGATAAATGGGAAAATTGTCATGGTTAATGGTGAGGGGGAATATATGGTGAGCCACCTGAACTCTTTCAAGTATGTTGAGATGGACTGCGAGTTCATCGAGACCCCCTTCCAGAACTTTGAAGAGGTTCCTCAAATCATTGCTGCAACCAAGACTACTACCAGCGTGCCAAAGATTACCAGACATCCGTTGAAGATGGCTTCTCTCAAGGATGCCAAGGCAGTAGTTGAAGAAGGTGGATGTACCATTTGGGGCCAATTCCCAGATATTCCTTACAAGTCTGACAAGTTTGGTTTGGGTTTCACTTCAGGAGCTCAAAAAGCTGTTCGTCGTGCTCGCGCCGGAGGACCACCCCTACGCATCAGCAACCATGGAATTAATGCTTTGGAGGATAATGACAGTGATTATGATATGGACAAGTGGATCATCCCAACCATCAGCGGTGGACTCAACAATTGGGAGGCCAAAGACTTCGTTCCTATTACTTTTATTCAGGAGTAATTGTCTTTTTGTTTTTGGATATGTAATATTTAAATAATATGAACTCTAAAGACTTGTGTCTTACCCGAGGCGCAATGGTTTATTTGTGAGGGTTATTATGTTTCATTTTCATATGTCATTAATAAAACATTGGACATTTTGCATACAAATTTTACGCTCTCTGTATTTATTTTTCTTCCTTTCTACTTTATCAAATATACACCTATGCTCTTACACACACCTGCATATCAAACTTCAAATCCACATCCACTCTGGATCCCATTGATAACTGTTCTGCTATTGCCAGTCATGACTTTGAAAATCCGATCTACCAAGCCGAGGACAAAGCTGAGGAAGATTGTGAAGTACCAGGAGAGCTTGCTAGACTGTTACAACAAGAAGAAAGAGCTATGCAGCCTCATGAAGAGCCAATTGAGACAGTGAATCTGGGTACTGAAGATGATAGAAAAAAAGTCAAGATAGGTGCCAACTTGGAGCATAGTGTCAAAGAACGTCTAATTCAGATGTTGCATGATTATATTGAGATCTATGCCTAGTCATACAAAGACATGCCAGGACTAGACACTGATATTGTGGTTCATCGTCTGCCAACCAAAGAAGACTGCCCTCCAGTGAAGCAAAAGGTTCATCATATGCGTCCGGAAATGTCAGAAAAGATCAAAGCTGAAGTCATGAAATAGTTCAATGTCGGATTCTTGGCTGTCACCTCCTATCCACATATTGATGTTCTGGCTGACAACACCGCACAACATAAGGTCTTCTCTTTCATGGATGATTTCTCTGGTTACAATCAGATTAAAATGGCACCCGAAGACATGGAGAAAACAACTTTTGTCACACAGTGGGGCACTTTCTGTTACAAGGTTATGCCATTTGGGTTGAAGAGCACCGGGGCAACATATTAGCATGCTATGGTAGCTTTGTTTCACAACATGATCCATCACGAGATAGAGGTCTACGTTGACGACATGATAGCCAGGTCTCAAACTGAAGAAGAACACCTTGATCACTTGTAAAAGTTGTTTGAGAGACTGAATATGTACAAGCTAAGACTAAACCCAAACAAGTGCACCTTTGGGGTAAGATCTGGCAAGCTCTTAGGTTTCATTGTCAGTGACAAAGGTATTGAAGTAGACCCTGTAAACGTTAAAGCTATATAAGAAATGCCAACTCCTTGCACTAAGAAGTAGGTTAGGGGATTCTTGGGACGTCTAAACTACATTGCTAAATTCATTTCCCATCTAACCGCTACTTGTGAGTCAATCTTCAAGTTATTAAAGAAAGATCAAGCAGTGAAGTGGAATGATGATTGCCATACTACCTTTGACAGAATCAAGAAATACCTTCAAGAGCCTCCAATTATGATGCCTCCAGTTGAAGGAAGACCTTTGATAATGTACTTAACAGTATTAGATAATTCAATGGGGTGTGTACTGGGGCAACATGACGAGTTTGGTCGAAAAGAGCATGCAATATACTACCTTAGAAAATAGTTTACCGACTAAGAAACAAGATACTCACTGCTCGAGAAAATTTGCTGCACTTTGGCATGGGCTGCTCATCGTCTGTGACATTATATGTTGACTCACACTACCTTTTTGATATCTAAAATGGATCATATCAAATACCTCTTCGAAAAGCCCGCTCTCTCCGGAAGAATAGCAAGATGGCAAAT